GTTACATTATTCATATTCAACATATTCAGGAAGAAGCTTGAAATATGAAGTCAAAAACTTCATTAATTTAATAAAAATCTTTATATTCCAGCTTAAAATTAAAAAAAAATCCATCGGAAGCCTGCTTCAGCTTCCGCATGTCTTGAAACAACTTCACTAATCATGAGATATCTTCAAAATGTCTGCATGAAAAAAATACCGCAAATTTTCTCACACACACGTCTCTTACCGATGATATGTGCTTACCTCTCAGTATGTTCAAACTTTCTCAAAAACCAAAAAATACTTTCACATAATTTTAAATGTCTTCAAACTAAAGATATGTCTTTAAATCTGGTGTCCCTAGTAATGAAGGAATCTCCATTTTTAATCTTTCTTCGAAGGAGATGAAACATACGAATATTAAAATATTTTACTATCTTTGTTCTCTTCCCGGGATCCCGGCATTTCCCGGGATATCAAATTAATATTTCCCGAATCCCGGGATGGTGGAAACCACCGGGAAATGGAAGCTCTATCCCGGATGCGGTTGGTAATCATGTGAGTTTTTTTTTTTTCGTGCCCTAGACTTCGCCCGCAATCTTCCTTTACGATCATCCGTGCCGTAAAGTCACTGATCTCGTGTCCCTTTTCCATTTTCCTTATTGAACACACTGGATTCACCCGAATCTTCCTTTTGATAGCAGCGATAACACTCGGAACCCGAGCTGACCTCGCACGACCTGTGACTACCTTCGCGGATAGTTGTCCTTTCTTTTCCCGGTCTAAAACTCTTTTGACGGTCCACCGGGACACTCCCACGGCGATTGAAATGTCTTTTTGCGACATTAGCGCGTGGGACAAATCACGAATACGCTGCCACTTCGTCATGGTGCAACTGTCAAATTAAGTAAATCATTTTCTTTTATACACAGCCTACTATAGGCTACACGCTAACTTGAAAGTACTCATTAATGAGTAAAAAAAGACCCATTTTGAACAAAACTGGCTTAACTCATTAATGATTAAACAATTTTACCCATTAATGAGTATCTGTTACCCATTAATGATTAACAATTACTCATTAATGGGTAACAGATACTCATTAATGGGTAAAAAATTTATTCATTTAATGAGTTAAGCCACTTTTCTTCAAAATGGGTCTTTTTCAACCATTAATGTTTACTTTCAAGTTAGCGTGTACGTGCATGCAAAGAAAACCAAGGCATTGTATGCACAGGTGAAACTGGAACCTTATTTGTACGATAGTGCAAACATTATCACGCATACGGTAGTTATGAATAGAGCTTTTTGACGTTTAATTGGCGCACACTACTGCACCATTTAAATCGAACGAGTGCAAGCAAGAGGGAAACAGATTAGTGGGAAAACAAACCGTCCGTTCATCCATGTGTGCTAGATAGAGAAAGACGATTAAACGTCAAAAAGGTCTATACTCAAGAAATATCTAATTACCCTAATAAACAAATACCATAAACGAACTGTATCCCGGATGGGTAAACTATCCCACAAATAGTTTGGATGATACCCCGGACACGTCGTTAAGCTCTCTTTTATGGTTATTTTTATTAGGGTATACTTTGTTTGCTCGGATGCAAGACAGATTTCATTTGTTTGTTTACGGTTGGATTCAAATCTGAGCTGGTATCCAGCGTGACTTGTTGATCCAGTCCTAGGAGGAAACCATTCTGATGGACATTGAAACCTTTCGACCCTTTTTCGTTAAAATTTCTCGTTCAAAGTAAAGATCTGGAAATGACTATCGTGTTATAAGCACCGACAAACCGACATGAATAACCATAGCATAAACAATAAAATTTCTGATCAAAGCACGCTACTGACATCTCGCTCCGTGTTCGCGGGAAATATTTAGCTAAGCCTAAGTGCTTAGCTAAATAGCTAAGTGTCTGATCTATTCTGGACAAATTATTTCTATCTAGATCAAAATCTTTTATGGTTTTGACAGTTCGGATCACTACAAATTTAAATCGGTCGTTTACGATTTTCAGACATAAGTCAGAATTAAGTCGGTTGTCGGTGTAATAAGTATACTTTTAACCCACCAGGATCTTGATCCTGTTCTAACTTGACTACGGACATTTAACCTGATGGGAGCTGTATTGGAAGTTCTGATGGGGACGGTTCCTAAAATTAACTATCACAACATTCAATTCACCTGATATTTTTCTTAAAGACACTTGCTTTGAACATTCCTAGACCTACGTTGGAAGAAGGTGTACTATAAAGAAACCTATTATTTCACCATAAAGAAACCCACTCGAGTTGGTACATCGAGTAAGGGAGCATGCATTAAGTACGTCACGCGAAATACATATAGCGAAAATTAACCCCGTTACGTTTTTCCTATACCTAATGCAATGCTTGTCACCTAGGGGCTGCTAAGCCAGCATTTTTCTGTTGTCTCCTATATTTAACCCACACACTTACACCCAACGCAAAACAAACACATGCAACAAACTCAAAGTTCGTATGTGTTGTTCAAGTTTGTTATGGGTTATAAATTAATAGAATCCTATAGTGGAAACATTTGATGTCAGTCCCGTGCTTGTCACACATTAGTAAACCCTTTCTCACCCCTAAGAGTGTGTCGTACTTATTGGTGCTCCCTTAGAGGGATGAACTACCTTCTAAAGCTTGCTTCATTTAGAATTGGAACAAACTTTTGCTCATATTGTGGTGCTCCTGGTGGACGGATTTGGAAGTTCTTGGCGCCCACGTGTCGGGAATTTTGTCAGCTTCACGTATGTATTTTTGACATTCCGCAAATCGACTGTACTTTGTAAACAATCAACATGGAAGCCGAAAGAAGGGAAAAAATTGTGCGCAGTTATTTGGAAAATCCATTGTGGTCTGCATCTAGGCTAGCTAAACAGCTGAAATTGCCCAGAAATACCGTATGGCGGTATAGGGAAACATTGACGACGATTCGGAAGCCTCAAGCCAATCGTCGGAGTGGAACTGTCGACCGGAAACTGCGTGGTAAGATTTTGAAGACGATTAAGAGGAATCGCAATCTGTCGGACCGTGATTTGGCCAGAAATTTCGGTGCTGCCCATAGTACCGTGAGGAGAACTCGACTCCGGGAAGGAATCAAGTCGTATCGAGCTAGCAAACAGCCAAATCGAACCATAAAACAGAATAGTGTGGCCAAAATCCGTGCGCGGAAGCTATACGACCAGGTGCTGACCAAGTTCGACGGGTGTCTTCTGATGGACGATGAAACTTATGTCAAGGCTGACTTCGGGCAAATCCCAGGTCAAAAATTTTACTTGGCAACGGCTCGGGGGGATGTTCCAGCCAAATTTAAATTTGTTTTTGCCGACAAATTTGCACGAAAATTTATGATTTGGCAGGGCATTTGCAGCTGTGGCAAAAAAACGAAAGTTTTCGTTACAAATAAGACAATGACGTCGGAACTATACCAAAAAGAGTGTCTCCAAAAACGAATTTTGCCGTTCATTCGATCCCACGACCATCCCGTAATGTTTTGGCCAGATTTGGCAAGCTGTCATTACAGCAAAGTCGTTCAAGAATGGTATGCAGAGAAAGGGGTCCAGTTTGTTCCGAAAAACCTTAACCCACCCAACTGCCCCCAGTTCCGCCCTATTGAGAAATACTGGGCAATCATGAAGAGGAGACTCAAGGCAAAGGAAAGGTTGTCAAAGACATCAATCAAACCTGGTGGAATAAGATAGCTAAAACAATGGACGAAGAAGGTGTGCGCCGCCTAATGAGCCGTGTTAAAGGAAAAATTCGAGAATTCCTTCGAAACCGTGACAAATAATTTTATCCGTACTTTTTCTTAAAAGTATGAAGAAAACGCTACATTTGTATAAAAAAATATCTTGAATTCAATAATAAATAACTGAAATACAGGCAATTGTTTTTGTTCCAATTCTATCTGAAGCAAGCTTTAGTGATCAGTTACGTTGATTTTGCGTCACAGCTTATAAAAATTGTAGTGATATTGGCGGCATGCTCATTAAATAGATTACGGAGCTGAATGATAACCTTACTAAAATGCTTCATTTTAAATTTTACCGTTTATAAAGCTATATTGTTATTTTTAATTTAGTGTAACTATTAATTCCTTGGTTGATTGCATGGTTTTGGTAAAGTATTATTAGTCTGTTAAATTTTGAGCAGTCTTCAGATCGTGATTTTTCAGCTCCAATCTATTTTTCTTCTCTCCCAATCTCATTTTCTTCTCCTTCGCTTGGTATGTCGCCAGATCCACCCAATCAGACAAATATCATTATCATTGCTTGTTTTTGTCACTACGGACACCTACTTCGATTGATGGATGATTGTACCCATTTTTGCTCAAGCAACCAAGTTGCTATCTCTTTTATGTTTTTTTGCGAACTAATAAAAAAATGTAGGCTAAAATATTTGTCCTTTTCAAATGTTCAAATCTTGCTATTTATCGAGGTACAACTACACGTTAAACATCATTTGCCGGACATTGTAAAAACTTCTCTTTAGAAAAGAATCAAGCTCCCACCCAAAGCTAAGTTTAACTAAGAAATGTATGTACGAAATGCGGTTCAAGTAGCGGTTCAAATTGAACTGATGGCTGTATTAAATGACCAATGTGATCTTCAACTTTGCTTGAGTAACCATTACTAATACCATCTCCATCAGGAGGTCTACAATCTGTGACCTCAAACGATGCCGCCTTCCACAAACATTAATGAACCCAATTAATCTTCATACTCGTCTGTCATCGCCGCTGCACATCTTCCCATTACCGTTACGAAAAAAAAAGTGCATTAATCGCCCACTTTCAGAGACCTTTATGTGACATAATCATATTAAACCCCATAGCAATCCATTCGCACACAAGAGCGCGCGCGTTCAAATGATGATCCATTCCTTCCGACCAACCATATGGAGCGCATAAGTGCGCACCCAACAACATTTGTTCACTGCGAGCTAAACGCGTTCATGGATGAAAAATTATGAACAGTTCAACTTACATTCTTGAAGCAGTAGGCCGGCGATAAAGCCGAATATTAGCAGCTTAATTACTCGATCTTGACACATGTTGTTGTCTGTTTTTCTTCTTCTGCTGTTGATGTTGCTGTTGCCGTTGATGTTTGTTGCTATTTTCAGTGAAAATCACTCACTTGCGTATTCACTCACGCGCGGGAATCACAGTTCTTCTTGGCTTTTCAACTCTTCGCAACTCCTTCGCACTCGCACTCAAGATTTGTTTTTTTTTTTTATACACTCTCAATTTATTTTTATCATAAATCGTCGAACTGAAAGGAAAACTATAGGACGAGAAACAAAAAGAAAATATTTGAAGAATTTTTTAGAAATGAAATTGATCTTGAATTTGACAGCTGTGGAAGTCGTATCGCACCAAGCGAAACCCAATTTGATGATTCACCCAGCAAAATTCGTTTCCCCCATGCCATGCACTTGCACTTTTCTCAAGAATATTAATAACGATAGTGAATTTGCACGTTTTGCTAGCTTTCTTTTCGCAATCCTCTGGCTTGATCCACGATCTTGGCATTCACCAGCACACTGCGTAGTTTTAACCTGCTCTCTAGGATGAAAAACTAGTTAAATTTTCTAATAATAACACCACTCAAAATCACTGAAAAACGCACAACCACCGAGAATACAGGCAAAACCTGCTACGTTCAGTCCCGATCACACTTGCATTTGGCCATACATCACCGCAGACCACCGGCGCGATTTGAATATCTATTAATTTGCATAAAAACACACCGCACTATAACGTTTCCCCTACTCTGCACCAAACTAGACACTAAGGTTCACCAAAAAGTGTTCCCCCGTTTCATATAAGTCGCCAATTAGTCCACGCGCTCCAACGATAGGAAACTGGACTCAAAGGCGCGGCAATAAAAGTTACCGTCCCCACCCCGCGCCGGATTGATTAATTCCTGACTATTTGCTCCAGTTCGCAGCCCCGTACTCCCGTAGGACCTTAATGCCGAGCCACACAACCGACTAGTAAATGCTAAACGGTGCAGCTCGGGAAAAGGTCACCCTCTATTGCGAAAGCACACCACACTTTAATGAATGCCGATCCCGACCTGTTCAGCAGCAGCGAGAAAACCAACTGATCCGCACGGGAGGAAAATTCATACTAAACCAATGTTGTGTTGTACCGGTTCCCAAGCATGGATGGCTAGGCGCGCGAATCCAACAAACATACTCCACGTCCACCACACCGCATTTGCTAATAACCCGCTGCCTGCTACCGGCGCCGCGCGATGTGGTTCGATCATTCAGTCCGTAATAGCAGCGAGCGAGCAAATCGTCGGTGATGGTGGTGGAAAGCGCGCTTCAAGACGTTCGCTTCGCTCTCCACCCTCAGAGCTTTGCTCAATGCTCTCCCATTTGATGTTAATGCTCGTGAGAACCAGTTACTCGCGATATGAATTACTCAAAATCTCACGCCGAGAGCCGAGGATACTGAGTTGCCAGGCATACGGGTACCGTAAAATGGAGACCGGTTGATCACTTTTTTTAGTTTACCAACAGAAAACTTGGTCTCTGGCGGTCATCTTTTTGACGTAGGACTACGTCTGTGATTTCTATATGGGGTTAACTTTGTGAAAACCGAAAATGGAACATGAAACAAAATTGTGAAAGATTTTGAACGTTAATAACTCAGCTGCCCCTGGTCCAATTTCAATAATTTTATCACCAATCGATCAGAAATACGGTTACGCATCGATAACAATGCTTATACATGTCTATTTTTAACAAAAAACTATTGAAAAAGTGGTAAATGTCCAGCATTGTCCAAAAGCGTCGAATTAACCAACAAATTCACCAATTACGTACATGCATATGCTGCTTACCCAACACAGTCATCAGATAATCATTCCTAGACGAAACATGTCGATGTAGTATTACGACGAGGTTCGGTAGTTCAGTGGTTACCGTTTCTGCTTACTGAGCAGAAGGTAGGGAGTTCAATCCCAGGCCTGTCCCCTTCCTTGCAATTTTTCACTTTGCCTTATTCTATACCCACTAGATTTAAATAAAAACAATTTCTGCTTTAACCTATAAACCTTAAATAACCTACCTCACTAACACAACTATCCTTTCCGAGACAACCGTGGAGATGTAGAGATATTCTTGGTCTCTAGTAACATCCGGACGTCGAACTAATCATCCTTCCGTCCCCAAAAGACCGTGAGGACGTGGCCGGTGCTGTGAATTGATCTATAGATTAAATTAATGTGCTTGTACATTGAAGATGGAAAGGTTATCCCATGCACCATCTATGTAGTTCTCTGTGCAAGTGGATTAGTTCTGATCATTCACCGAGGAGCAACTACGAAGTGCACGGTCAGATAATGTTAACTCGACGGCAAACACATTCATTGATACGTTCGTTGTTGTGGATGATAGAAGAGCATATCAGAAATAGTGCGAGCCATGGTATGTATGTATGTGTATGTAAGGTAGCCACCATCCCTTCAAAGATCTTGTCTTGTATGCAGCTCCACTTAATAGCAAGATCAATTTGAGCTACCGATCTGAATTCACAATATCGCTGTTTAAAGGGCCAAAAACGGGGGGGTGGACCCGTTAGCAGAGACACTTACGCGAAATCCACGGGAATTTGAGAATCTCCTTCCAACGATACGATCCAACAAATCGAATAACGCAATTCGCAATACTTATTAAGCTTCCTACAGGATGGTTTGTTAAGAAGGGTGCGTCAATCTCACTGAAACTGTTGGAGTAGAATTTACACCACCACAATCGAATCGGTAGGATAAAGAAAATGATAGTGTTTATTCCCTCCTAGACTCCGGTTGTCATACCACTCCATCGTCCAGTTTCAGGTCAAATGATACCCTGATGCTCCCACCCATCCCAGTATTTATTTATATAATGTAAATATATGTAATGGTGAAATGAAGTATATCGGAACATTAAAATATGAAATGTAGGGAATACAATTAAATGGATGCAATAAAAATTATAAATATTGTACACATAATAAGATGCACCTCTATGTATGTCTCCTCTGCTTACAATGGTAGGTGGATGTAACACTGAAATGTCAAGGTTATAGTAATAATAGCAAGTAAATATGTTTAGCTCGAAGGATACTTAATATTCCCTTTTTAGAGTAATTGAAAAAAAGTGATGAATAACTAACAGGACTAACAATAAAATTGAAATTGAATCTCATCTAAATGATGTCATGCATGACGAGAAACAAAACCTGAAAAATAATTATTTATGTATATAAGTTATCCACTATCCCTTCCGATCTAAATTCACAAGAATAATAAAATAATTATCAAGCTAAAATTAAACGATCCATAAAATATTATGAGAAGTGCGTAACATAATAAGAAATACAATGAGATATATATGTTAAATTGTATAGTTTTGCTTTGAGTAAAATATAAAATAATCAACGTACTGCAATTCATCAGGTGAATTATTTTATTAAATGATTTCTACATGATTTTTTATAGGAAGAGTTTTTGTAGCGAGATACCTTTTAACGAATGTTCAATGCTTCAATTAAGTGTACAGCTACAGTACCCGTTCGATCCTGACATGGTTAGATTTTGGCCACACAAATTTATTGGGTTTGTTGCCAAAATCGACCGGGTACTGTACTATAATCGATGGGAACCAATTGATAAGATAATGTAGAATAATTTAGTCATGAGCTGAAAAAAAAAATGAAAAAAAAAATATGATATGATTTCGTTGATTTTTGACTGCCGTTAGTTATCTTTATGACATAAAAGTTATTACAATGTTATTACAATGAGCAAAAATACATTATTTGCAAAATTTGTTCTATTTTGGCACGGTGCCAAAATCGAATGATTGCCAAAATATAATTGTACCAAAATCGAACGGGTACTGTACTATAAAGCAAATTTTTATATGTTTAGAAAACCTCTAAATAATTCTTGTGTTGTTCTGTCTAAATAATTATGTCGCAATGTTATGAAAAAATAAGAAAATTATACTAGGTATATCAAATTTGTTTTACGCAAAAACACTCTTTTAGTGGATATTTTCCACAAATGCTTTATACAACTATATGAAAATGAATATGGATGATTAGGGGAGGGGAGGAATGGGGGTCTAAAACTGCTTAGAACCGCATTGCATATGAGCAGCCCCTTACTTGACTACCAGAAATCCTTTTATTTATATCAAAACAGAAATAGTGCGAGCCATGGTCATCACAAAAGAGGAAATCGATAAAGAGAATTGGCTTCCACCCTTCTGCTTCTAAGCCCCTTACAGTCATCGTCATAGCATCGCACCGCTTTTGGTTCTAGGGCACTTGCTGGTTGCAATTTTGAGATCAGGATTCACTGTGATGCGATCAGTTGTAAGCAGCAGAAATTTCCTTCCCAACTCTCTTGTGGAATCTTTTAGTGGCTCTGAAAAGGGCCGGTTTTGTTAGATTTCGACGGAGAAATTAAGAAGAGCGTTCACCACAAATACGAAGAGCCAGCTGAATGTCCTTTGGCATAATTGTGACACGCTTGGCGTGGATGGCGAACAGACCGACCAGATAGGCCTCGCTGGATTCCTGTAGGGCCATTAACGGACGAACCTTGGAAGCGCAGATCGGTCTTGAAGTCCTGGGCGATTTCACGGACCAGACGCTGGAAAGGCAACTTGCAGTCAGCAGCTCGGTCGATTTCTGGTAACGACGATGTGGATACGTTGAATGCAATCTGTTGAATAAAATTTTTTCTCTGACTTCCATTCTATTTTATGACATGCTTTTGCTATGTTCAACCAATCATAAACGATGAAAGAACAAGAACACAACAACAAGAAGAAAAAGAGATCAAGGCGGACGTTGCGAACGAAAATTAAGTCCACTCACGATCCATGTCCAGGTGCAAATATTTCTTCATGAACTCGACCAACTTCAAGTTCCCTTCGTTCATGAGGTCCATGTTAAAATTACCCAGCACAATCATGGGCATTGGCTCCAAGCAATATTTCGTCAGATTCCGCGCACAAAAGTTCTGCTTGTACTACAAATCTGTACGATTGTAAATAGAACAGAAAATCAAAATATAAAAATGAGGTAAGGAAAATAATTAAAATATGGTTCAGATTAATGACCTGGCTCAATAAAGATACACATTACCATTTATTATATAAGACCACGTAGTCCTACTTCATCATTGCGTACAACCATTGTAAAAAAATTTCGTGCTGTCGTTTGCTGTAATCAACAAGTTATCCTCGCATCATCGAATCCCGACCCGTCTCCATCTTTTCACTGTGCAGCTCCATCAAAGCAGAATGGACCAAAAACAATGCGGAGAATGTCAGCTCGTTATCAACGAGCTCGAGCCGCTGCGCTGTGGTTTTTGCGAAACATTCTACCACATCAGCCAGCAGTGTTGCGGTATTAATATCCGCAATCTGAAGGAACCATTATCAGCTGGAAAGATACTCTTCGTTTGCAATTGGGTTCCTTAATTTTGAAAAATATATCGATTTCTATACATCATCTGAAAGGGCTTCGTTTTCTGAGCACAACGATATTTTTCTCTATCCTATTTACTTCTATCTTGATTTTTAAATCAAGATTTAAAGCAAACTAATCACTTCACTGTTTGACACAAAACTAACAAATTGACAGCTCACTCCCATACAAAGTACCACCTAGGGGCGCTAAGATGGTGATTTTTGCTTATGTAATCGCACTTATTTAAAACAGTTCCAGTGCTCCAAAATTGATGAAATTTTGGATTTCGGTTCCATTTGTGATGCAGATTACGAATATCAAACTACCTTAAACCCCCTAAAGAACCCAATTCCTGTCGTGGGGTTCTACAGGGCCGCTCTATCCGCTGTTTCATCGACGATCGGC